CTGCGAGCTCGTCGGCTCATCTCCTTGGCAGCAGGAGGGGGCCTGGCCTCGAATAAGGGCTCCCGGGTTGCCTGAAGGGGGGGAAAACACGCAGCCCCTTCAGATGCTCCTGCATCATCTCCTGATGAGCTCAGGCACGTGCTGCCTTACACCCCGGGCCCCCGGGGCTCAGTCCAGCACGATGCTGTTGGCCCTTCAGTCTCGGGTTTGACTCGGCAGGGATGCGGAGCTCCCGGCTGAGCACGCACTTTCCAGAAGGCCTACATTGGGCAAGGGCCCTCCCCATCCTGTTCCCTGCCGCGAAAGGAAGGGCTCTTGCGGGCTCCGGGGCATCTCACAGGTGGGGCAGTGGCAAAACCCAGCGAGGTGCTTCGACTGTTGGGGTCAGAGGCAGGCAGCAGGAGCCTAGGAGAAAATGCAACAAGAGCGGTGGTGGGGAGAACAGGCCCTTGGGGGTTCCCTGCTGGTCCCCAAGACCCCAGCCAGCCCAGAGCTGCAGCCGGAGGACCCTCCCTCACCCAGTACATCAACTGCATGTAGGGGACACTCCACGTAACCACGTATTGAATGAATGAATGAATGACCAAAGGAAACACAGAATCTTTTCTCTCTCTGACCTTAGAGAGCGCATGGGGAGAATTTCGCATGAGCTGATCAGTCAAGGACCCACAAGTTTCTCAGGGCAGCCGTCGTTCCAACCTAACACTGTGTGCCGGGTGCTTGGCTAGAAACCGGACGCATGAAGATAACTGTGGTCCTGACTTCAAAGGGAGTAGGAAGAGACCGGGGCGGGGACAGGACCCAAGGTGCCCCTACCATGGGATGCATGCCGTGGGGACAGGCAGGCAGGGTGGGTGGAACAAGGCGGGTTAGGAGGGCTGGTGTGCAGAAGACAGGACCCGGAAGTGAGCGGGGCACACCGCAGAGGGTCCCGGGAGCCAGGCTAATGCCTTTGGACTTTACCCTCCGGGCCAAAGGCCATGAGTGAAGACTTTGAGACAAACGAAGAAAGCGGTCAGACCTGAATGCTTCTGCCCTGTCGTCAGTCGTCGTGTTCGGAAGGCGGCACATCTGGATGCTGGCCCACCACCCGAGTACCGGGGCTCTGTGTCCAGGGCACTCAAAAGGCAGGCTGCGGGAAGCAGAGCATTGCCACGATCAATCGGCCAGTGTCAGTGGGTTCAGTGTCTGACTCTTGATCTCGGGGTCAGGAGTTCAAGCCCCATGCTGGGCATGGAGCCTACTTAAAAAGAAAAAAAATTTTTTTTTAAATAAACATTTCTAAAATCCATTTGCCAGTCGAGTGAACTCCTGCTCTTAACATCTGGATGGAGGCCGCCTTTTCTCTGCAATGTACTGTGTGGCTCCTGACTCACCACAGGGCCCTGCTGAGCTCCAGGAGGCGCTGGCCCAGTTCCTGCCCGATGCCCTCTGTCTTGGCAACTCCCCAGGGAGCCACACCAGGGCGGGGGCAAGGCGGGGCAGTGATGCAACACTTATAAAACAGACATCCTGGGACTTCCACTTATACATGGGTGCCTTTGGCCTCTGACAGATACCTTTGGAGACGGTCCCCTTCTCGGATGACGCCTGTGTTGCTCAGAGCAAGGAGGGCCATCCGGAAGCTCTCTGTGCCTGAGGCACATCATTTGGATATTGGCAAAGACTGCACGCTTTCCACCTGGGAGGGTGGACTGGAATTTTGGAAACTCCTAAAAACAATTCAAGGGCATGGCTGGAGTGCTGGTGAGTGACTGAGCTTCAGAACATCATTCCTGGTCAAGCATCCACACGTGATGAGTGTCCCATGCCTGGCCCCCAGGTGTCCTGAGTTACGGAACCCTTGCAGGACAGGTCTTAGCCTCTCGTGCCCTCATGGATGTCCTGAGCCTCATTCCATGGTCAACTCTAACTGTGCTTCTGGGGAGAAACTTGGTGCGGTAGCATATGACCTTGGACGTGTGGGCAGAACACAAGCCCCTCTCCCAGGAAGCTTTCAAGGTCTAATATTCCAGTACTGACCACATGGATATGTAAACGTTTGCTGAGTATAGCCTTTATGTCCCTTAATTATTTCCAGCGAAGGTTACTCTTTACGATTATAATCACTATATACCTTCATAAGCCCTTTCATGTACATAATTGAGAAAAAAAATACCTCCTTCTTCAGACATGTCCTCATTTTTGGTTCAAAAAATGTGTACAGTGTATTTATACATAGGCCTCATTGTAAAAGCTTCAGATGGCAAGAGCTTGCATGTTTATCTACTCCAATCCAGCCGGAGAGTGTTTTACAAAAAGAGTCTGAGGCCCAGAGAGACGGGAAGCCCAGAATGAGTGCAGTGGGGGAGGGGAGCTACAAAACTGGAGTCGATCCTGGAACTTAGGGTGGGTGGGATGACGAAGGATCCAGATCTTCCCGGCACGTCCAACGTGGTTTCTGATGAGTCTGTTCGCTTCCATGACCGCTTCTGCACCAAACACTAAAACCTCACCTTCACGTTAGTGTAACCTTTAGGCGTTGGCCGTCACATGCTTTACAAGGATCTTTTGCTTTTTGTCTAAGGACAGAAATAGTGAGGGAGCCTACGGGAGTTTGCTGAAAATATGCAGAAAGACATTAATGCCACGCATATGAATAAGGCCAGGTGTAGTTACCGCTGATTTATCTTCTCAAATCCAGGTTAGTAGCCGGTTTAATGACTCAGTGCCTGCTAACTCCCAGACCCAGGGCCAAGGCCCTCTCCAAGAGTTTGCCTGTAGGCAGCTGGGCCAGCCCTCCAGGAAGCAGTGCGGCTTCCTTCCCTCGCTTCTGTTTCCCTATCTGGGTCAGACGGATCATCTGGGCCAGATGCGGCCTCCCCAGAGTAAAGGACAGCGTGTTGGCAGGAGTTTGTGTGTTTGGAGAGGGCTAGCCCACACGACGGGCCACCTGGGTGTGACACATATGAACAGCAGAGGGACAGACCCCCCCCCCCAGTCAAGAACTTGCCTCTATGTTTCAGCGAATACCTCGAAATCCAAAATATAAACTAAGCTGAAACAGGACCCTAGATCTGGCCCCAAACTTTCCCTTAATGGCTGGAGAAACAGAAGCTCTGAGGGTCAGGAAAGTGGCCAGATTTCTGCGGCAAGCTGCTGGCAAGGCCTGGACGGACTGTCCTTCCCTCCAAGCTGCCGCCAGGGTCCCAAGTGTGGAGGCATCCCGTGCCCTCTGCCCGGAGGAGGCTACAGAGCCGGCACCATGTTTGCCTGGCAGTGACTGGCTGATCGATGAGCCAAGGAAAGCTGGGGGTGTGGACACTCTTCCCCTCTTGGCCTTCGCACTGGACCTGGGAGACTTCTGGAATGAATGCAAGGAGAACCCGGCGTTGGGATACAATGTTTCTTCACAGAAGGGGGATAAATACCACAGTGATCACCATGATCCTAAAGCTATCCCCTTTAATCTGGGCTGGAATGTTCTCTGAAGGGTTAGTAATCTCATCTTCTTCCACTGGAATTAAGCTTGTTAGGGTGGAGATAACCCCCTCCTCCCTTCTCTAATCCAGCGTGTGCCTGGCACCCTCCCAGTGGTTGCTCAAGGGCCATGTGAAGATAAAGTTGAGTGAGGTGGGTCCCAGGCCTTAGGGGACAGTATAAGGGAGATTTTCAAAATGCCACAGGATTTTGGAGTTGTAAAGATCTTTGGGTCATCGAATGAAACCTCCCGCCCAGAGAAAGAACGTAATTTACCCAAGATCACACAGCAAGTTGGGGCCAGGGACAGAGTAGAGCCCTGAGCTACGCCAGGGTCCCTCTGCACCGTGACCTGGACTGGTTTCAACGTTCTTTAACTCCTCACTGGCAACCCTCGGGTACCCGCAATTCCTCGACACTCCCTGGGGCCGGCGCTGCGGGGTGGCCCACACTCCAGAAAAGCACAGTCCTCCGGCAGAGGCCGCGTGCGCTCTAAAGGACGACCGATTTCCAAAGGCTTCTGCCTTTGTGTATTTATTGTGTAGACTTCGCAGCTGCCCTTAGAGACGTCTAGTCACTGACGAGTGCCATCCAATATGGTGAAGGGCAGCGGGGAGGTGGGGGGGCTCGGTGGCTTTCGGACCCTCTACCTCCTCCCCCTTCGGCGCTTAGACAAGCCTCTAGCTTAATGGTGAACAAGGCCCTTGGCGTGGCCTGCCACCTAGTCGCAACCCCACCTGGGTATGTCATACACGGTTACTGGCCCAGGAAGGGCCTGAGGCGGTGCCACCAACTTGCCAGGTGACCCTCGCTCGGCACGCACCTTGCCCGTGTCTGTGTCGGTGCCCCGTTCTTGGATGGGAGCCAGGATCGTTACAGGCCGGTTCCCTAGGACTGGAGGGGCCGGGCAGGAGGGGCCAGAGTCCGCCCCGCGGGGTCCACGTGGCCGCTCGCGCCCACGAGCTCTTTTCTCTGCTCTAGGGCACGAGACATTTAAAGCCAAGTGGAAGGACAGTTCTGCCCCGCACAGATGCTGAAATTCGCCGTCGGTCGGCAGCAGGTCTTGCAATTCCGCGGGGCCGGCTCCCGCCGCGAGGCTGAGACCCAGGCGAACGGCGGGCGCCAGGACAGACCCGGGACCTGCGGGGCGATGCGCGTGCGCGGTCCCGCCGCAGGGCCAGGAAGGGCGCGAGGCCGCCGGGGGTGCCTCGCGGCGTCGTGCGCGTGCGCCTGTCTGCCGCAGGGCCGGCAGGGGCGCGAGGCCGCCGGAGGCTTCCTGCAGCGTTATGCGCGTGCGCAATACCGCCGCGGGGTCGGGAGGGGCGCGCGGCCGGGAGGGGCGCGCGGCCGGGGGCGGGCCGGGCGGCGCTCGGAGCTGCTGACGTTGAACTACCCGCGCCCCCCGCCCCTGCGTGCGGCCGCGGGTTGGCCGCAGCCACCACGCTCCGCCCCCTTGCTCGGAGGACGCCCGGACGGAACCGATCGCGGCTGGTTTGAGCTGGTGCGTCTCCATGACGACACGCGCGGCGCTATAAGTAGCGGAGCGGCGGCCCGTCGGCTTTGTCAGTCCCCTCAGCCTCCGCCGCCGCCGCCCCTCTGCCAGAGCTCCGGCGCCACCTCGGGCCGGCGGTCCTCCGCGGGAGGGAGCGAGGCGGCGGGCGGGCGGCTGACGGGGGCGGCCGGCGGTCCTGCGCGCTCGGCGGCGGCATCTCCATGGGGCTGGCCCGCGGCGCCAGTGCGCTCTAAGGTGAGAGGGGCGCGTCCGGGCGGTTGGGAGGCAGGAGGGGGAACGGCCACGTGTCCCTGCGCGCGGGGCCCGAGGCCGGGGACCGACCTCGCGCCTGGGGCCGTGAGGGACACGTGGTCGCCGAGCCGGCTGCGGGTCCCCGGCCCCGGCGATCGCTGCCCTCCGGGGGCCTGGTTTCCCCCGTGAAGCGGGGCGCCGGCCCCCGGGCCCGGAGCGGCCCCCCTCGCACCGGCGCGGCCCGTCCTGCCCGCGATGGCCCCGGCTTAGGGCAGCTCGGGCTGGAGGGGACCGGAGTTTCACCTCTTCCGAACCACGTCAGAGAGTGTCGTGAGCCGGAAGCTGATGGCAAGGCCGCGGCTCCTTCAACCGCTATTCTTTTTTAAGACGCGTGTGGCAAGCCCGGCGGCAGGTGCAGGGGAGTTTCGCGCGAGCCGGTGCGGGTCTCGGGCTCCCCTCGCTCCTCTCACTTGTTAGGACGAGGCAAACCGTTTTGTCCTGGGGGTTTCGTACCTCTTCGTTTTCGCGTGCAGAGGAAACGACCCGATCTAGAAATCGGCCGGAGTCCTCAGGGCTCAGACAGCCTCACGGTGACGGCGCTAATAAATTCTCCATTCGCTGCGCCTTGGAATTGTCCGCTCAGGAAGTCTTTGGTTTCGTGATTTACGAAGAGCCGCAGCCCAGGCGAACAGGCCCTCGTGGAGGAGGCGGCCCTGGGGTTTTCAACACAAAGCTGACTGCGGGGGCTTGAGAATCCCAAACCGCTGGGGAGCGTGTGGAAGTTTCCGAGGGGCACAAAGAACGTGTTGCGTGTCCGTAAACCTGAGATTGGGCAGAATTTAGAGACTTGTGGGACGTTTTCCGTTGTTTAAGTCTCTCTTGTAATATTTCCCAGTTGGCAGGAAAGAACTTCGTAGTAGGAAAGTGCGATCTTGTGCCCGTTGAGTCAGCGCTTTGAGTACCTTGGCTGCACAGAGCAGCCCGAGGTGAGGTTTCTCTATATTGCGGGTCACTGAAAGGAACCTCTCAAAGGCACTGAGCAGCGCCGGGTGGTAAAGTCATAAACCCCCAGGTGTAAGCGGCAGCACTGCCTTCAGGATACACCCTAACTAGCCGGTCTGTCACCCAGCGAACCTGTGTGGCGTGTTGGTTACAAGGCCAAAACAGGCTTGCTGTCCCCTCAGTCCCTCGCCGTCCCCTGGGGCTGCTTTAGGCCACACAGGTTGATGGCCCAAAAGCCACATTCCTTTAGATCAGGCCTCAAGACAAGTGCTGCCACGCATGGGTTTGGATTTATGGTGGGCCCGTCCCCCTGGGCCTCTCATAGTGTCCCATGCCACAGCAGAGGTGGCCCCGAACCATTGCCTGGCCTCCGCCGTAGGCTGCGGGCACTGAAGCGGGCCGCACACTGAAAACAGCCCCCCGCCTGGCAGACGTTAAGTAGGTTACAGTCAGCCCTTCTGTGGTCACTCCTTTACCAGTGTCACATTTCATGAAGGCCGAGGACAGGGGCTCGGATCGTGACGAGCTTCAGTTCTGCTTATTCGTGATTCACATACACTGCTGTTATTTTTGTTATTCGTGTAAAGCTAGCCAGAAATTACATCCTTGTGATTGTTGTCAGTAGCTAAGCCACTATTCGGGCGCCTGTGAGGACAGAAGAGCTGGTCAGAGCTGTGCTCCCTTCCCTGGACAGGAGCCAGCACTGACTCCACACTGCCGATCGCTGAGCAGATACGGCAGCTCTGGTACATTGTCCTGATGGGGAGGTGGCACTTTTTAAAACACACACGGGCCCGGCCTGAAAATAAACTAGCATAAAAACTGGTTCATAAAATTTTTAGGAAACTTAAGAGCACTCAGTATGTGGAGCCTTAAGACACTTCCACGAGGCCTTGGAGTCCCTAAAAGGGTTTCTGTGCAAGACTGAGTGAAAATAGGAAGTAGCGAGATGTTTCTATGATGTCCTTCAATAATTAGCATCGCGCCATTTTAAGCTCCTGAAAACCTAAACTGTCTCTGAAATTGAGTAAACTGGCTGCTATAACATTTCTCCCACATAAGTGAGCTAGGTGAAGATTCTGAAGCCAACTTTCTGCAGGTTTCTTAGCGTGAATATTTGAAATGCTTATTCTGGGATGTACAGTGCTGCATGTGGGATTGTAGCGCGTGGCTTCAAGTCTAGAGTTGGAGCTGTGCTGTCCTTGGGTGGCGCAGAGGTTTGTGGAGTCACGGGACGTCGCCTGGAATAGTGCGATTCCCGAATCCAGTGCGGAGGGTGCTTCCTGTGCGTGCAGTCAGTGCTGATCTTTGCGTTTGATGTGTTCCCAAGGTAGACGGCGAGCTCCGTGTTTATCAGAACTTTTCCACTGCGGCACCGAGGGCACGCGCTTCCTCAGGGGGGACTTGGAGTCCCGGAGAATTGCCTTTGTGAAAACCTGGCAATAATTCCTTTAAATTCCATCTCTTAGTTTTCCGTGTAAGTATTCGCAGTTGCCGCAGGTGGTGGTGAAGAATTCCTAAGTATTGCAGTGGCTTCTGAGTGAGTCTCTCCACCCTGTTTGCAGTGTGTCACGTTCCAGAGGGACAGCAAGAAACCATGAACAGCTTCAGTAATGAAGAGTTTGACTGCCATTTCCTCGATGAAGGCTTCACGGCCAAGGACATTCTGGACCAAAAAATCAATGAAGTTTCCTCTTCTGTAAGTACATTAAGTCCTCGCTGGCGGCGCAGCTGTGAAATGCTGGGTAGATGAGTGGGAGCTTCGGTGGGGCCTTAAGGGAATGTAGTGGAACTTGCCTATCCTGTTAGGGATTTAGGATTTATTAGCTGTGGATCACCCGGCGGTAACCGGGATGTTCCTGCCGGTGACGGAGTAGAATGACAGGGTTCGTTGGGAATGATGGGGGGCTGCATGCGGGATGTATTGTTAAGGTGCTGATGAGTCCCTGCAACCACTCCATCTGCAGGATGACAAGGATGCCTTCTATGTCGCGGATCTGGGAGACATTCTAAAGAAACATCTGAGGTGGTTAAAAGCTCTTCCTCGGGTTACCCCCTTCTACGCAGTGAAGTGCAACGATAGCAGAACCATAGTGAAGACCCTAGCTGCCATCGGGACAGGGTTTGACTGTGCCAGCAAGGTAAGCAAAGCAGCAGGGCCCCGGGGCGATGACATAAAATGGCGCTGGTGTTCCCAACAGGGCGGGTCAATCAAAGTTGTGTGATTCTCTGGGCAATCATCCTTAAGAGTGGGGGGGCCCTGTGACAGCCGCCATACTTGTCTTTTTCTTTCCTTGATTAGCTAGCTGTGTGTATATAATGCATGATCTTTTTCAGACCGAAATCCAGTTGGTGCAGAGTCTCGGGGTGCCTCCGGAGAGGATCATCTATGCAAATCCTTGTAAACAGGTGTCTCAGATTAAGTATGCTGCCAATAATGGAGTCCAGATGATGACTTTTGACAGTGAAGTTGAGTTGATGAAAGTTGCCAGAGCTCATCCAAAGGCGAAGTGAGTTACTACTACATTTTTGGGCAGGGTCCGATACAGGGTATGCATATTATCGAACTCCGATTTCCAGTTTTGAGATTTCTGTACTTTGAGTAAAGTACAAAAGTGTGCTGGGTCAGAGGCAAAGTAGAAAATCCGGAGAACTCCTGGAGTAAAAACTGAAAGAAGCTCAAACCACAGAATATCAGAGCCCCAGATCCTTGCTATTTTAACCGTGGCTGTAAGTGGTCTTCTCTGTCATGGGAAATTTGATACAATCTTCCTGCTTCTAGGTTGGTTTTGCGGATTGCGACCGATGATTCCAAAGCAGTCTGTCGCCTCAGTGTTAAATTTGGTGCCACACTCAAAACCAGCAGGCTGCTTTTGGAACGGGCGAGAGAGCTAAATATTGATGTCATCGGTGTCAGGTGAGCTCAGGGTGGTGGCCTGGAGGCTGAGATCTCAGGCGGTGCACCTTTCGTGGGTCTTCTGGAAATCGCTCTTTGCAGAAATAGCAAGAAATCTATATTCTCCTTTCTCTGCCCCAGCTTCCACGTGGGAAGTGGCTGTACCGATCCTGAGACCTTTGTGCAGGCCATCTCCGATGCCCGCTGTGTCTTTGACATGGGGGTGAGTACATGTAAACCCGGGGGAGGGGGTGGGGGGAGGGGCAGGGCTGTCAGTGACGAGACTTCATTCTAGAATTAACCTGCTGAAGTCCTCCCATATTCCAGAGGCTTAAACCCATGTGCTGCATACAGTTTCAAGACTTGGTATCAATCTGACTACTCGTTGACTGGCTTTTCTTGACTCTAGGCCGAGGTTGGTTTTAACATGTATCTGCTTGATATCGGTGGTGGCTTTCCTGGGTCCGAGGATGTAAAGCTTAAATTTGAAGAGGTAATTATAACAGAAACTCTTAATATTCATAGCTATGTTAGCAAGTTCCACTTTGGAGCATTTTAAAAGACTTAAGTGTTTTTCACTAATCTCAAAAGAAATTGTACCAACATAAAAATAATGTGGTATTTTCAGTATGATGTGTGCTGTTTAAAGTTGTATTTAATATATCCTTGGGTTTTGAAAGCTAAAATGAGTGCATTTCCCCCCAGATCTTGGAAGATAGTTGATTCTGTTAGGAAATGGGGCATGCAGGGGCACCTGGGTGGCTTAGTCGGTTAAGCGTCCGACTTTCGCTTAGGTCATGATCTCGCGGTTCATGGGTTCGAGCCCCACGTCGGGCTCTGTGCTGACTGCCAGCTCAGAGCCTGGAGCCTGTTTCAGTCTGTGACTCCCTCTCTCTCTGACCCTCCCCTGCTCACGCTGTCTCTCTCTCTCCTAGAAATAAAAATATTAAAAAAAAAAAAAAAAGAAAGAAATGGAGCATGCAGACTTCAGTACTACATCATTGCCCCATGTGCTATTTCTAGATTTTATATTTTTCATTTTAATTGTTGAGTCACTTAGGAAGTTAAAGTGGACATATTGTTAATTGGACCATTACGACGTGGTTGAGTTTGTGAACTAGGTCCAGCTTGTAAAGATTTTATGAGCCAGGCAGAATAGTGGGATAACTGGCATGTGTTTCATGTATTTCAGCACCTTGATATCTCAGTAGGCAGTAATAAATTCATGCTATCACTTGATAGAGTCTTAACGCATAACATCTTAAAAGGATATGGGAGGGTCCGGAGGGGAGTCCAGATGAAACCACAAAGTACACGCAGGCTGGTTTTTAGGGGGATAATTATGTTTTTCTTTTGCTGCTGTTACTGGATCCTAAGCCTCCCTGCTGATGGCTGCTCTCACATCTCATACTTTATGTTGCTTCACAGAGCACTGGTGTTTGCTCTTCCACGTGAGTTCCCCTTGATGACGACCTTTCTGGTCTCTCTCTCCTAGATCACCAGCGTTATTAACCCTGCACTGGACAAGTACTTCCCGGCAGACTCGGGCGTGCGAGTCATAGCTGAGCCCGGCAGATACTACGTCGCATCAGCCTTCACGCTCGCAGTGAATATCATTGCCAAAAAGCTTGTAGTAAAGGAACAGACAGGCTCCGATGGTGTGTATAAAGATGAATCCTTGCATGCATGACTGTAAGTGGGTACAAAATGTGATAATTGAGACCAGTCTGTCTTTCCAGATGAAGATGAGTCCAGTGAACAAACCTTTATGTATTACGTGAATGACGGAGTATATGGATCATTTAATTGCATCCTTTATGATCATGCACACGTGAAGCCCCTTCTGCAGAAGGTACCTTTTCTTTACGTTTATTCATTTTGAGAGCATGTAGGGGAGGGGTAGAGAGAGGGAGAGAGAATCGCAAGCAGGCTCTACACTGTCATTGCAGAACTCAGTGTGGGGCTTGAGCCCGCGAACATGCGAGATCACGACCTGAGCCAAAATCAAGAGCCCCCCGGGCGCCCCTGTACCTTTTGAATAGGATCCCTACAACAGTTAAGATGTTGGGTCCTAGCAGGCATTAACTAGGTATATTTTGTTCTCTTCAATGCAGAGACCCAAACCAGATGAGAAGTATTACTCAACCAGCATATGGGGACCAACATGTGATGGCCTTGATCGCATCGTTGAGCGCTGTGACTTGCCCGAGATGCACGTGGGCGATTGGATGCTCTTTGAAAACATGGGTGCTTACACTGTCGCTGCTGCCTCCACTTTCAATGGGTTCCAGAGGCCGACCATCTATTATGTGATGTCGGGGCCAACATGGTTAGTACCCAGAGTCCGGGCGGGCGTGCGGGTGCTCCTCTGGAGAATAGATTTCTTCTTGCGTTTTGGCTGGCTCTCATTTGGTTGAGTGAGAAATTGTTCTGATCGACTTAAATACGAGTAACGTTTAAAACATAGTTTATTTTCTGCCTGTATTAAGGATATATATATGCTTTAGATAACTTGGAAAACACAGATGGAAAGAAAATTTTAATACCAATCTATACTTCCTTTCACATTTTTACAAAGGTGTAACTATATCAAAAAAAGAGCGATGAGGCCATTTCCTCGTAACTAGAATATTTTAACAGACGTGTGTGGCCTGTGGTTTCCCTGCTCCCGAAAGAATGGTTCCGAAGAAGTGCTCGCCTTGGGAACACTGAGTTGCTTCCTGACCACATAGTGACCGAGGAGGCAATAGGCTCCCGAAGAAGCCACCCTCGCGCCGCGGCTGCCCAGGGCTGGGTGGCTCAGGGTCTCTGACTGTGTTGCTTCTGTCTCAGGCAACTGATGCAGCAGATCCAGAACCACGACTTCCCGCCCGGGCTGGAGGAGCAGGACGTGAGCGCGCTGCCCGTATCATGTGCCCAGGAGAGCGGCATGAAGCGCCCCCCGGCCGCCTGCGCCTCGGCCAGTGTCAACGTGTAGGCGCCGCGCAGCAGCTGCCAACCTCGAGCGTGGCCTGAATTACAGGATTTGGGGGGCCATTTAACTTAATTACCGCTAGGTTGGAAATGTCTGTAAGTAGGGTTGGCACAGACGCGACGATACCGAAGACTAGGAGAGGGTCACTTATCTGTGTTCCTATGGAAACTATTTGAATATTTGTTTTATATGGATTTTTATTCACTTTTCAAACGTGCTACTAAAGCGCGCCCCTCGGCCGCTGAGCAAGCGTTTGTAGCTTGGGTGGCGGCGGAACGGGCCCGACCGAGGCTTAGTGCTGTGACCTGTTTTGAAAATAAAGTATCTTGAAATAATCGGGCATTGGGGAATTTTTCACGGTGTGTCCACTCCACATGGCTCACCTGAGTGGGTTTTGTCGGAACTGACATTCTGCCCCCGCTGCTGCCGAGGAAGTTGGCCCGGTGGGCCTCAGAGCCAGGGGTTTTCAGTATTTTGAAAAGCCATCAAAATGCCGCCTTTCCTCTTCCGGCATTTTTATTTCAAGCGTGCGAGGCCTGTCTAAAGCTGGCTGGGGGTCCGGTCCAGCCCACGCGCAGGCAGGAGAAGCGTGGACGAGGGCCGAGCCCTCGGCTGCTGGCCCGGGTCAGCCCCCCGGCGCGTCCACAGAAGCGGCTGGTGCAGGGAGGGTCCAGACCCCTTGGTCGACTGTCTGTCCAGGGCCCGTGCCCAGGGAAGGAGGGCCCGTGGAGCCCCCCCGCGCACCGCCTTCGGGACCGACCTTCCCCTCCCCGCTGTCTCCTCCCCCGGGACGGGCTGTGTAGCTGCAAGTTAGGAATGTGCTACAACATTTGGCAGTCATCTTACCTTAATAAATGCAGTGACGATTCGTGTGGTGTAGACTTCTGCCTGCTTTGACCTTGTCCACTGGCTTCTGTGTTCTCTTCCTCCTCCTGCCCCGGAAAAGGACTCCCGGCTCCCCTGCCGTGTAACCCCCAAGATGGGAATGTCCAGTCCCTGTGGTAGCGGGACGGGGGGAAGGCAGGCCTGCCTCCACTAGGCCACCGGTCCCCACCGGCCACTGAGCCGTGCTGCGCGCCGGGAGGCGCCCGGCAAGACCAGAGACGGTGCTGGGGGGAAGGTGTGGCGCCTCGGACGCCGAAGCCGAGCCTCCAGATCTGCTGTGTTGGGGCCTCGACCCGGGGATTTGAAGGGGAGGGCTCTTTCCGAAAAAGCCACCTTCCCCCAAGACCCCAGTTCCCTCTTAGCTGCTCCGCCTGGCTTGGCCAGGGCTCGTCACCCCCCTGCCCTCCCTGCCTAGACCTGAGAAGCCAGTCTCCTTGCTCAGGAGCTTGGGGGGGGGGGGTGGGAGAAACCTCTCACTCAGCAGCTTGTCCCACTTGTGCGAGCACGTCCTTCCCTGGTTCCTCAGGATGTTCAGGACAGAGGAATCCGTGGAGAAATGGGAGCTGGTCCCCGCGCCTGGGCTCTGGGGACATCGGTCCCTCTGCTCTAACGGGAAGGAATTGAGACCTCACAGGGGCAGCAATGAACTTCGATGGGGGGGACCTGGGCAGACTGCTCCAGTCCAAGCCCGTGAGGCAGGATGCTGTCCAGCCAGCAGGCCGGTGGGGACAGAACCCGCCGCGGGCCGTCCCCTACCCCCCCCCCCCCCCCGCAGGACAGCCTCAACCTGACCCCTGGCAGCCCGCTGCGGCCGCCGGGAGCCTCAGCCTCGGCCCTGCTGGGACCACACTCGGGCTGGAGGGTGACGCAGCCTGGCCCGGGCCCAGCGTCTACCTCTGGTCCTGACACCCGCAGGAGGCAAGTGAGGGTAGGGAGGGTGGCATCTCAGGTGGCCGTGTGTGCGAACACCTCCCGAGCCCCTCTCACGGCCCAGCCGGCCGCACGGGCATTAGAGATGGCGCTGGCCGCTCATTCACAGAAACTGGACGTTTCTAGACTTGCAGCGCGACGGGATGGTGGCTCTTGGGCCTCCACCAAGGCAGCAGGTGACCTTTCTCTCCTGCAGGTGCTGGAGACCGACAGGCCTTCCGTGGGGGGGGACCCTGGGGTCTCCGGCTGCTGGTCCAGGGTCCAAGGCAGCGAGCGGTCAGGGCCTGGCAGGCTCTGCAACCCGCTCACTCGGGGGGCATCTTGGCCGGGCCCACGGCAGGCGCCAGGGACGGGCGGGTCGTGCGCGGAAACTGGGCGGCCGCCCGGAGTCCCCCGCTCCTTACGCCTCGGGGCGCCCTAGGAGTGCTCGTAACGGGTTGGGCCGCCAAACTAGGAGACATCTGAGGTCCAAAAGGTAAGGGACCGACGGGAAGCACACGAACGGCGTCTAACTTTCTTCGCACCGGAAGCGCCCCAGGAAAAAGACGATAGGCAGGACGTGAATCTGGGTCCAGACAGAAGCCTGCGGGCATGAGATTCCCAAGCCAAGAGATGCCATGAACACTGAGGATGCGGATCGCACGCCAGGTGGGCGGAGGCGAGGGTTCCTGGGGCGCCGGCTAAGCAGGTGCACCGACGCTAGACGGAAAGGGGCCTGCGGGGATGACCTCTGTGCAGGCACTTCGGCCATATGAAAAATAGGCCTCGCTCCCTGAGCGGGCAGTTCTAAGAACCTTCTGACAGAAACCCTCTTCCGGGCTTTTCACTGTGCGCTGTAACAGCACGTGTTGGACACAGCCCACAGGTCCGAGAGGGCCCTGAAGGTCAGCCGACCGGGACCACGGCCGCCGGAAGGAAGGATGCAGACTGCGGGAGCTGCGGGGCCAGAGCAAGAGCGAGCAGGGTGGGGGGCAGCGTGCAGCTGTGGAAAAGCCAAGCCGGGCCACACACCCACCCAGCTTGCCGTGTGGACGCACACGGGCAGATGCGCACAGAGCCTTTCTGGAAGAGCCGATGAACTGCTGGCGGTGGAATCGGGGCCTGAGGAGCAGGGTGGAGACTGACCGCATAGGCACTAATACACGTGTCTGCATTACCGGTTTTTTAAAAGAAACTACAAGTCTCCCAGGTGAGGGAAGAGGCTCGGGAATGAACCCGAGGCTCAAGTCCCACGCTGTGAAAGAGGCAGGTCATGTGACTCCCACGTCCACTTGGTGCTTTTCCTAGTTTACCAATACGTTGCGGAACGTGAAGCCCAGAGAGGCCAAGTGACTCATCCGAGGGAAGCCAGCGAGTCCAGAGCATCTAACAGCAAATAGGTCCCTGCTTCCCTGGCCAGCTTGGCTCCTGGTCACTTCCTGAAGAAAAAGAGCCATGGTGGGAATGAGCGTCCTCTCTCCCAGCAAGGGTGGGGATGCAGTTCCTGGCTCCGGCTCTCTCAGTCCCCCTCCCCGCCTGGGGCAGCAGCGCCTCTGGCTCCGGGGCCCTGCTCAGGTGGGCACCCAGAGCTGTGTAGATGCGGCCCCACCGTGGCCTCTCCCCGTGAAAGGCTCTCCCCCTGCCTGGCTTTCGATCCCTCACCGGCACTTGCTAACGAAGCTCAGAAGTTAGTACACGGAGTGAAAACACCTGAGAAGCCCTCGCTGCTATTTCTCGGAGGAGGAGTGTTTCCCGTCCTCCCTGCTAATTCGAGAATGGGGAAGGTCATGACCAGAGGTGGCCTGCGAGGTGGCCGGGCCCCCGCAGCTTCTGACCTGCCCCGGGGACTGTGCACACTCTGCTCCCTGGCTCCACGAGGAGCGTTGCCTGACTCGGCAAATAAAAACGTAAGATGTTGGGGGGGGGACATATATTTGCTGTTTATCTGAATTTCAAATTTAACCGAGCCACACTATCTAAAGGCCTCTGAGCCCCGGTATGAGGAGCCCGGCCGCAGCCTCTGTCCGCTGTGTGGCCCACGCAGAAAGGTGTTCCTCCGAGCCTCTGTCCCCTTATCTGTCCAGCGGAACGGGGACAGAAAGCTATATAAAGCAGGCCCAAGCGCCTCTGAAACCGGGCAGCAAAGCCTTGGGGATCCTCAGGCCCAAGCCTGAGACAGCCCTTCCTGCCACAGCCACCAGGGGGCAGCAGCGCCTCGTGTGTGAGGCTCCTTGGCCCAGTTGGGCGCTGAGACGGAGCTGTCATTCAGTCATTCAACAAACACTTGACCAAGGTCTCTGAAGGACTCTGGCTGATGGAGGGCCGTGGGAACAAGAGCGTGCTCCGGCTCAGAAGGAGGTCCACGGCTGGCCACAGCACTGAATCTGGGGCTTTGAGGAAGGGGCCCCAGTAGGTGAAGACTTCCCCCGGCCCAGCCACTGCCCCTCCTGCCTCACACACGGCTGTACCAGCCCGGTGAACAGCCAGTGGGACCCTGCAGCCTGTCCCTGCGGCCCAGGCCCGTTCCGAGTGGGGTAACACCCCCAGCCACCTACGAGGTGCACAGACCCCGCCCCCTGCCCCTCCCACCCTAGTCGCTGTTCACAGCCTGCGCCCTGCCCTGGCCATGTGGGCTGTGTGGGTGGAGGTGGGAAGCGGTGGGGCACTGCCCTCATGCGACCCCACTCACTGAGCCAGGGTCCAGGTCCCAGGGATCTCCACGCATCGGTGTCACCCCCTCCCCATCTTCGCACGATCCCAGGTCTGTGTCCTTCCCACACCAGAGCTGCCCCCATGGGGGCGTCTGGTTCTAACCTCGGCTCTGGCCTCACGGCCCCACCTCTGCGGGATCAAGGAGACACTTGGCGGCCACTGCTCTGAGCCGGAGAGCCTGAGAGCAGATGGCGTCCCCCTACCGAGGCCCTTCCCCTCTGCCAGCTGATATGCGGGGTCAAGGTCACCCTGTCTTACAGGAGAGGAGGGAGGGAGTTGGGGGGGGCTGGGAGGGGGCTGGCCCAGGGTCACATGGCTCATCAGTGGCCGAGCTGTGACCAGGGCCCTGGCGGTGCAGTTCCAGGCAGCACGGATGGGCCACGGGCTGACTCTCGCGGTCTCCGTGTCCCCGGCAGCGAATCCTGTGCTGGGCCTGGCACTGGATCGAGGGGCAGAGGTGACCAGAGGGAAATGAATTGACCATATAAGAGGAACGGAGCTGTGACTGAGGGCGGCACAGGGGGCGGTAAGGAGCTATCTGGGGAGGAAGGGACGTCTGCATGTAGTCTCAGAAAGGAAGGAAGTCTCCAGGAGGAAGAGGAGGCAGGAAGGCCCCTGTCGCCCAACCTGGGGGCAGGAGCAGCAGAGCCGGGTCAGCCTGAGGGCCAAGGGCAAGGTGGATCCCCCCCACCTGCCTAGAATGACCTGCCGAGGCTGCCTCTCCACACACCTCCCCCACGCCTTCAGCAGCCACCTCCCCCTGCCACTTGGCCAACACAGGCCCAGGCCAGATGGGTTGGACCCCGGGTGCCACATCCTTGCACGGACGTGCCTGGATGTGTGTCTGCGACACCTCCACGTAGGACAGACGCACCCCCCCAAACTGGACCTTGCCAAGTCCCCATCGGTAGAGCCTCAGGCACAGGCCACACCACTGGTCCTTCCCCGAAGATGTGTGTGCAGACACGCGCACACACAGACACGCACGCACACACACACAGTGCGAGGGGCACTGTCCGGGGGGCAGGATCTGGCTAGTTCTGATTCTGCTACTGACTTCCTGGGGCCCGAGGTGGGTCTGCGGGGCCAGTCCACTCCCTCCCCGGGGCCTTGTCCCTCATTGGCTGCCGGTGAAGCAGAGGCCCCAGTACACAGAGCAGCGCCGTGAGAGCAGAACAGGGCTGTGGGGCGTGGGCGTGCACGCGGAGCGTATGTGTGTGCACACGAGCTGGGGGCACACCCAGCCCAGAGGCCAGGACGGGCCCAAGTGTGCCCTTCCGTGAACTGCAGGAGTCAGGTGGCCTGGCCATCCTCAGCGATGGCTCCCCTTTGGGTCTGAGGCCCCCTGCCTCTCCAGTGCAGCCTTAGAAGCTGCTAGAA